ATATATATATATAAAATAATTACGTAGTAGACGTTAACGCCATCTTCATTGTGTTTTCTGTAATATCAGTTGTTGTTGTTGTACGAATTGCATTTTATTTCGTTAAATTCTTGTTGCTCGACTTACCAGTGTTACACTTCCCGCATTAAAACTTTTATTACGGCGATGTGCAATTTATTTCAGCGACATGACCTCCACGTGGTCTATCGCAGACAAATTTATGAGTGTACTTGGTGCAATCTTTTAGAGCGTCCAGAAGGTCGTACGCGAGTCTTCATATCTTACAGTGTATATTGTGTAGCATGTGTAAATAAATTTTAAAGTCAATGTCTAGTTTAATTACTAAATTCCCAAATATATATATATATATATATATTATATTTTGAAGTATATCAATGATCAAAAATTTAGAATCATTAAATTCAATTAATTAAAAAAATAATAAATTAAATCATTATCTTAAAAAAAAATTGATTGATCCAAATTTTTAATTGATAATAAATGTATATGTTATATGTGAAAAAAATTTGTTTATTTTTGTTTGTCATTTTTTTATTTGATCTAATTCTTAAAAAGGAGTTATTTAATATAGGTTATTTAATAATAGGTTAAAATTAAAAATGTGAAAAATTTATAACACATATAATAATGAATAAATTGATAAAATGATGAAAATGAAAAAAAAATGATATAATTAAAATAAAAAAACTAATATTTTCCTTCTTGTTACTCGCAATTGTCATTATATTCTCCGACATATAATATATTTTTACAAATACATTTTCTTTTCGCTTATACACAGACTTTTTCAAGAGTCGGGTAGGAAATTTAAGATAATTATTCCGTTTAGCATATATCGTATATACTTTCTCTTCGTCATGATTTGCGATGATTATGTAACGCCAAAATTGTATATTAATCTCATAATATCCAATGTCATTGATAAAAAAATTACGAAAAAGAATCGTCTTAGTTCGAGATTGGCCTCGAGAGATATCGTGATCACGATATTTCATCGATAAAATTTATGTCGGTGAATTAATATTTTCTAACATCGATTTACTTTTTATGTGTTTTTTTTTTAAATAAATTACCTTATATTAATGGCAACATCGAAAGCACGATGCTTTTTCTATATTTCTTTTTCTTGCTCTATTTCTTATTTCTATTGATTGCATTTATGTATATTATGCAAATGCATTTTACGATAGCTGCGTCAAAGAAGAAACGCACGATAACTTTGGAAAAGTTTTTTTTATAAGCTTCTGTTTCCACTTCTCGAGACGAATTCGATCTGGACGATTCCTTACATTAATTTTTCTTTATACATACGTCCTTGTCATCGAAATCGACATATTAAAACCGCCTTGTATCAACATTATTGTTCTCAAATCTATTTTCCTCCGGATTACATAGAATTTTTCAAAATTATTAGAAATATTGAAGATTTATGAAGATATTTATTTAATATAATGATTCAAAATAATAATAATATAATTTTAATTATATATTCATCATAAATTAGAATTAATCAGAGGAAAATAGGAAAACAATTTGTCTACAGAATACGTATCAAGGTTTGAATAAAAATATTTTAATTACAAGTATTAGTTTACGCATATCGTTCAGACAAGCAAGCAAACATACATATTTAACAATGGCGATAAATATCTTAGATATAAACAGTATTATTTATTGGCTAAAAATTTGTCAACCATACAACATAACATGTAATAGTCTATACGCAATAACTTAAAATTTAAAAAGAATGAAAAACAATCATTTAAATAGATTCAATACAAATCTTTCCTTCCATTATCTTTTTATTTATACATATTTCATAAGCTGGGCAGGCTCGTGCGAAATTGTAATGTTGCAACACGTTAATATGCTATAAAACATGAGGCAGAATTTTTATTGACAATTAACCTGTACGCAGCAATTTTCTCGTAATTGCAAATTATACTTTTAAATTCACTCATTTTTATTTTTAATTCTAATATTTTTTAAAAATATTTTATTTTATTTTTATATTTTAAAATTATTAAAAATTAAACAAAGAATATTAAATAATTATTTTACGAATTAAAAATTGCAACGCACAGAAAATACCTGTATTATACATAGTTGTATTATACATATGCATACGTATGTATATAGTTTAACATTCGAAATCTTTAATAATCAGGATCGAAAATTATACACAACACAAGTCGTTCCAGTAATTACAAATTGCGAGCTGCACGCTTTTGTGTGTTACTAATAACAAGAACATACCTTAAATTTTATCTTATTGTCGTATAAAATGCATATATCTTTTGACATATCTTCAAGTGAATTTTACACCCCAATCATATAATAAAATGCTTTATGTGCTCGATACTTATCGATATTTTGTGCGATACAACGATGTTTTTTTTTTTTTTTTATTCTGTATTTACTTTCAACTATTTTATGCCTCTTGCATCTCTCTCGATTTATATCTCTAATAGGATATTTCTGTGAGACAATTCGATTTATTATTTCGCACAATCTTTATATGATTATGTACGAATCTGTATTTCGTATTTTAATTAAAACGAAACAAAAAAATAGTTACAAAATCTTAATCGATACAAATACGTGATTTTCGCAATTTTCAATTCAATTGAAAAGTTTTTTTTTTTCTTTTCTTTTTATAAAAGTCGAATTTCATTAACCTGAAATGTGCGTTGATACGCTCGAAGTATGCGATTCTTCACACTTTCAATTTGACACGCGCACACATGCATGTACATACACACATACAGACATACCATACACGATCGCGAGTGTGAATATTATCGATATATCGACAAGTTTTTTGAACCCTCTTCAAACAATTGTAAATTAATAATATTATTTAATATTTAAAAATCTAACAAGTTATGGATATTAAAAATGTGCATAATAATAATAATTTTACTAATAAAATACAAATAAAGTTTTATAAATAAATTTTACTTATGAATTATTTAATTCGACGTAAATTAATAAAATTGTGAAAGAGAAATCTATATTACTTACAACTTGACAAATCTTCAATATTTTAGTTAATAAATTTTTGCAAGAGAGGGCCCTGGTAGTATCATATTTATTAGATTCTATTTACTTTTGAAATGCAATAATCTTTTAATTGATAATATTGCTTTTAAACAATAGATTTCATATTAAATTGTTTTCAATTCATTGATCAGAACTTATACTTTCAGATTTGTTTAAAAATATTGTTTTTTTGTAACTTTAGTGCTTTACAAATTTTTAATTTGAATCAATGACATAAAAGTCATATTTGAAATATTCGATACAACGTATGTAATTATAAAGAAGTCATGAATCAGATGAAATGTATATATATGTGTATGTATGTAAATATTATTTATGTCTCTTTTATATTTCCTTATTTGTATGTCACTATAATTTGCAATAGCTGTTATATCTTAGAAATTTATATCGAGTGAATGTTTAGATAATGCTATTGATCAAAGCGAACAATTGATAATTTCAATTTTTACTCGGTATGAATTGTGATATGATTGCATTTGTTTACAACATTGTTAAATTATGTGATTCTCTCATACGCAGGTAACAGTGTCAGAAAGTCGGATTACTACGATTCGATTAAAAATGCGTAGTATTTCTAACCTAAAAAAAAAAGTTTATTTCGTAAATAAACCAAAATTTCTAATAATGTTTTCATCTATTTTTCATTTTTCCTAAAGAAACACGTATTCGATCATTTTTTTATATATAAATTAAAAATAATAGTCAAAATAATTATCATAAGATATTTGTGTCATTTCTAACTACACAAGTAACACATTTCAATACGATACATTCTGACACATTTAATATTACAATTATATTGAACAATTTTCTTCCTTTATTTCAACTATTTTTTCAAATCATATATTATTCTAGAACAAAATCATCGTTAATCGTGTAAAATAATCGATCGTTAATCACTGAACTATTTGGATAAATCTACACAACTTACGATTTGATTTAACATGAATCACAAAGGTGATCGTTTCGGTAACAAGAAATACAATTTTCATTCTTCTACTTCACAGGTATCTCAGAATTATTTTTACCTAAGAATAATATTACTACATTCGCAATCATTTATATACTATTGAAATAATAAGAATTTCGTTACTCGTTGAGTAATGAAATTAATAAAAATTTTATATAACTATATCATTAAAGATATTTCTTCATTATCGTCATTATATATAATATGCTTTCTTCGTACAACGAGGTGTCATTTGGTGGTAACATAAATAATTTACAATAAAGCTAACAAGAAGACATTGTTACCACAAGCAAATGACACATAATATATATATGTATATATATATATTTATATACACGTTATACGGATTTAATATTCACTATTTATCGATTACACAGTTCTTTGATTTATACAAACCATGAACGCCTAATGTCCATTAGAAGGTACCATTTAAGATTCTTCTTTTTCTCTTTTCTATTTCCACCATCATATTTTCCACTCGTTTCTTTATTTTTCTCAATTCCTCGAATTTGTCACAACCATATCTAAAGATGACAATTTTATTTTTTATGAAATTTTTTTCTTATAAAACAAAATTAAGACTGAAATAGTAATAAATCTCACCTCATCGCTATTCAGTACTAGTCAAACTTCTCCACTCGCTTCACCATTATCATCTTGCTTTTTATCCTGCTTTTCTTTCTCTCTTTGCCTCTCTTTGTTCTCCTCTTTCTCCATTTCTGTTTCCTTCTCTTTTTCAATCTTCTTTTCCTTTTCACTTTCTTTCTCCTTCTCTCTCTCCTTATCCTTCTCCATATATTTCTCTTGTTCCTTCTCTCTTTCCTTCTCTCGTTCTTTTTCTCGTTCTCTGCCCCTTTCCGCTTTTCGTTCTCTAAGTATTTCCATTCTACGCGCTCTGTGCAAACTTCCAGAAGGAAATGTGGAATCTTCGACCGCGGCAGCCGCGGCCGCACTCGCTCCTCGCTCCACGGCCGTCTGCTCAATAATTTACTTAACTGTATTTTTCAATATGTCCTCTACCTGATTTTATTCACATAAAATAGACAATCATATCGAATAAGACGAGTTAGATACATACTTTCAATATAAAACTGGCCGTCGAACTTTTGGCAATTGGACTCTGCGCCGAGGACGGATGACTATGCCCGTGTCCATGGGTGCTAAAGTAGCCACCCGCTTTCGGTTTGATGTGACGATTGTACATTTCCATATGTACGATCTTCATGAATTCGATCTGTGCTGCTAATTTCTGAATTTCTTCCTGCAATATACATATATGATAATTGGATGGATATTTATGTAAATTAAAATTTAGATAAACATATGTATATATATTTATTTAAAAATAGAATTGAAACATAGAAATTTAAATATACATTCTGTATATTTAATTTTTAAATTTCTGTAGTGATTATTATATCTTTAGAATTTAAAATGAGACGATGATACCTTCAGTTCTTCGTTTTCTTGATGCAAATCTGTCGCTTCCTCGGATACTAAACCGATTCCATTTAAAGAGAAACTCGCTGTGACACCTCGGGCTCTAGCACGACTATCCCATTGATCTCCTTGACCACGTAAAACTCGAATCACCTGAAATATAATTAATGATCTTTTAAAAAGGTAATATAGAATTTACTATATATATTATACTATATATATCTATATATTCATGAGAAATCTTTTAATTCCAGAGGCCAAAGTAATTTTTGTTCAATATGAAAAATTTTCTGAAAATTAATAAATAATGTTCAATGAAGAGATGTCATATCACGTGAGATAATAAAGTTGAATTAAAAATATAATATTTTTTTATATTAAATTTTGTGTTTATTTTAATTTCTAGAATCTATTCTTCAAAGTGTTTCACGAATATCTTGTATGGGAAAGAAAGTGAAATAATTAATGAATTACCTTGGGCGCAAATACAAGAAACACAGTGACAGAAGTAGACAATTGTGTACGTAGAAAGCCTAATAAATATTTGATATCTGGGCCAGCATGAGGGAAAATGAAGAGACTGCAAAGAAAATCATGGAACTTAAAACTCGATTTCGACAATAATGTTGGAAATAATAAAAAAAAAAAATAAAAAAAAAATAAAAATTCATACTGAATGGCAATCATGGTTATGTTCACAGCTGCTATATTGTAAATAGCATAGCTTATCAAACGGGCCTCATTAAAAAGACTTTCTGCATTGCGAACGTTGTAACAAACTTTAATGCCCCATGCAAGGAACAGAATTTCTCCTGAAAGGAGAATTTCAATTACTACATATTTTATTGATGTTTTTAAAAATATTTTTTCTAATCTAATTTTATGATTTTTTTTTAGTACCGATAGCTAAACTATGGTCCCACCAATTGAAGGAGCATTGATTGAACTTTAGACCATAATTATCGGCTATCTCTTCAGCGTATGGTGGTGCGCTGAGCGTCCACGTGCCCAGATAAATTAACATTACTAATAATATCGGGACCATCCATTGCAGCAATTGTTTGTCTGTGAGCTTTACTTTGTGCGCGCTTTTTACACGGTATGTGAGAGAAACTCTATAAAAAAGAAAAAAGAACAATTCGTACCTCTGATAAAAAAAATATGTTATTCATTATTGAATTACAAATAAAAATTTTAATTTTTGATTTTCTTCTTTGATAATTGATAATTGATAAATTTGTATTTCATACCTCCAGGTTTTCATCAACAATGCGGTATAAGAAATACAAAAACCAAGATGTCTTGTCCATTTGGTCGCTATACAAGAATACATGTCCAAAACCGGAAATATCGCGGCCATCTAAGTACATAAATATATGTGAAAAATAATTTACATAATACATATTGTTGATTACATTAATACACATTTATATATATATATGAAATAATCATAAGAAATTGCAGAAGAATTTGAAATAATAAATTACGTACTTCAAGATACATGATGGCGCAACCCAAAAGCGTGATAGACAAAAATATCGGCGAAGCAACCTTGAACACTTTGAGTTTACGGTGTTGATACATGTAGACGACTAAGATGATAGTACCAAACACACAGAAAATAGAGAACGATAAAAGAGCGATTCTGCAAGTAAAAGATATTTTTATCATTGAATTTATATAATTTCATTTTAATTGAAAATTCCTTAAATTTCAGAAATACTTCAGATTACTTCTCTTCGGTTTAAAAAATAAAGAAGTTTGGGACGAATTCGTACCGGAAGGGCCAGTTGTAGGTGGCTAGACAAGGTTCCGGCCCCTTACATTTAACGCATCCCGGGGCACAACGTAAGCAACGAAACATCGTCATGTACCAATCGCTTATGTTTTCTTGCATTTCCTTCCAAGCGGCTATAAATTTATGTTTCAGCTAAAGTTATACTAATAATGCATTCACTCGAGGCGAAGAGTTGAGCTATCCTTACTAACTTTCGACGAGGATTCCATTGAAAGCGGATTGATGTTGGTTCTTGTCGTAATAACCTTTTCGACATTTACATATATATGCACCCTTTGCCCAACCAGCACCTACGCCATTTTGATTTATACGATTGCTCGGACTTTGATATTCACACTAAAAGTCATATACATGGAAACATCAGGTAGAGACAAACTCTTGATATTGGATAAAAGAATTTTAAAAAGGATGATAATTCTTTTTCAATAATTTCAGTGTTTAAAATAATTACCTGAGTGGTATCGGTATGACATTTGTGCGTGCCTTTAAAAGATGCTATTTGATTACTTAGAATTTCATTCTCATTGCTATGCGGCGATGGATCACATTGATTTACTTCTAGCCCGCTAATATCGATATCTACGCTTAAAAATTCACGAACCCTTGAACAAAATATAATTTCATCAACATTTGTTGAAATAGTTTGATCGCTTTATTCAAGAACAAACAATTAGAAATCGATCCAAAGAGTTGTAGATTCGAAACACTTATCAATTCACTTATCAAATGAAAGTTTTGACACATTCGATGCAGTATTGTCATCAAGTATGCTCAGCCATCTCGTTTCATTTTACAATTGTTTTCCACATTAACCATGTAAGTAAATTTCATTGACGAATTAAAATTAAAATTAAAAATTCGTATTTAATTATGATCAAAGATTTAAAGTTAAAAATTAATTAAAATGATTGATACGAACCCGTGACGAGCGTCTGGCGGTCGTATGTTAACACTGTATGAAATCAACCATCGATGACTTTTGCAGGAGAAATACGGGATGGTCCACCAACCCCTGTAGGATTCAATCGCCGGTGACTGCATGAATTTCGGTGACCTGGGATAACACGCAAACGCCACAAACCGCCATAGAAACTTCGATTTTTTCACGCATACATGTTTCGTGCAACCCCATTATTATCGTACTTGCTTTTTTCTTTTCGTCTCTTTCTTTTTAAATCCTGGCACTTCACGGTCATCCGGTATATACGAATATTAAATTTTGACATTTGAATTAAATTTGACATTAGATATTGTCTGAATATGTATTTAGAAGTTTTTAATTAGAATTTACTATATATTAATTGATATTACACTTTAACATTTTTCTTTTTGGAGTAAAAAAGATCAGAGATGTATATGTTTTTTCATTTTAACTGTTTAATAAATCTTGAAACAGTCTATATTCATAAAATATTTATTTATATCTATAAAGTAAATGAAAAAGATTGGTTGAAAAGAAATGAAACATTCTATATTATAACTATTGTTTTGAATCATAACCAGAGATTATTTCTCATACATATTTTCATAAAATATTTATCTTATATGTATTGGTTTTAACATGCTAAATTTTAAAGCGATCTCTGAATTAATTTTCAATATTATAATTATTCATCATCCATTAAAATTTCAATCCAATTTTAATCTATAAATATGTAATAATTTAAACAATACAAGTGAAACAATTGTCAAACTGACAAAATTGAAAAAAATAATTTATGATCTGATTCTTTAGGGACAGCTATTGAGTGAATTCTTTGGCGCTTTCACATCTCGCGTTAAACACTTGAGAAAACTGCATCCACGTTGTCTGTAAATTGTCGCTTTCTCTGGTGAACATACCATTGATTCGTCGAAATCGATCCAAATGCGATTTGGTCCAAATACCAATCATTTTGTTACGACAACCACCCACGCAATAATTCGACCGATGCATATTGTATTTTTCATCCTGATTCAGATTGTACTATAAATACTATAATACTATAATACTATAATCAGTGTTGTCAATCGTTTCATATTGTTATATTCGATGATTAGTTTCACGATGCCAAGTTATAAATATCGTAGCGCCGTACACACATATGATAAAAAGCTTTTAACGACGTACCGTTGGCATATTGATTATCGTAGAATTCTCTTTAAGCGATTACATTCCCCTTCAAAATGAACACCCTTGAATATAATGCACGCTATATCTTTAATATTTAATGAACGGAAAAACATCAACAATTTTGTAAAATATTTCGTATACGACATTATATACTTATAGATTGTAAATTTTTGAATATTCAGACAATATTTTTTTTAACAGATGTTAGAAACAAGAGAAAAATTAAAAATTCGAAAAACTCGATTCGTAAAATTCGAATCTCATTTCTGCGTGTCGAGTTTCTATGACTTGACGCTTGTACAAGATGATGAAGGATGATGAATGATCGTGGAGCGCCTATAAAATGTTTATTTTCTTCTCGGTAGAATTGTTCTTAGATAAATATTGATTTATGGTAAGTACATCGTGTTTTGTTAAAATTTATGATATTCGTATTTTTATCGATTTTTGGTTACTGCGTTCAGCTACTTTACCGAGAAGAGGTAACGAAAATTGAATATGGAGGGCGAGATGCAAAATAAAATTTTTTTGTGCTTGTGCGTGTGCGTGCGTGCAGGTTGATGCTTCTTAAAAAGCTAGGTGCAGATGTGATCAGGTTATATTTAATTAATCGATGAGTATCATTTCTTATGAATATTACAAGAACTTATATAATATATTAATTATATAATTTTAAAATAACTATATTTTTTTTATTCTAGTTTCACTAAAAAAAAAATTGAAAATTATACTAATTGCACAATTTGATATTAACTAAATTATATTTCTCTTTTCCAGATTTTGACAAGAAAAATAGAAAATGGATCGAAATATGAATATATCGATACATGCGATTTTCGAGAACGTGCATCGAATAAAAATCGAAAAAGGTGCATGAGAGTTTGAAATTCGAACGGTTAGATAAATCTAACCTTAATTCTGTAGTGGCACCCGCATTTTCGAACCACGGTAAATTAGAATCCGGTATAGATCCCGGCTGGAGTCCATGGCTCTCGACCTTGAATGGTTCTCCGACACTTCCCGGGCTTCTTTCCAACCAGACTGCGCTAATTACTGCACCCGTGGACGCGTTTAGTGCGATCACCCTTGTCTCCACGGCGTCGTTCACTGACATCAGTAACGACTTTGCTAGCACATCTAAAAGCGCTACAATATTAAATTTCAACAAATTATAAATGTATCAGCTATCAACTATTATTAACGTATTATGTGGTAATATATAAAGGTTTGTCTCTTTTATACAAAAATTGTGTGTTTAAAAATTGATGATAAAGTTGTATATTGAGCCTAAGAAATTGTAAAAATTTTGTAAAACAATTATGTAATTCGATATAAAATAAGTAAATCTGTCCTAATCAGAAAAATAAGAGTAATATAAATAGTAGATACTGTTTTACTCATGCAATAAGTAGTAGTGTAGATATGTTCTAATCAGGCATTAAGTAGTAGTGTAAACATATTCTAGTCAGACAAGGAGTAGTATAAGTATTTCCTAAGAGTGATACAGTACTTATTATTAATATTACAAATATATTTTTATATTATATTATATTATATTTATATAGTATATTATATTATTTATAATATATTATATTTATATAATAATTATACTATAAAAATATATATAAATCTAATATATGTACATTTATTTTTGAAAATTTTAATGGCCTAATACATAAATTAAAATTTTGTAAAATTATTAAAATATTTTATCATTAAATCATTGTTCGATTAAACGGTAAATAGGATATATAAAATTCATATATGAATAATAAATTATAATAAATTTCATTTTTTCAGTTCAAAGATGTTAAAGATCTGATTTTAAAATCAGTCCACGCGCAGAGTCGCAAAAGCATGAAGATATAATCGATGTACCTCGATAGCATGCATATTCTCGTTACCATTTTAGCCGATGAAATTCGATTAGGTGATGATATACCAGGTCCCGGACAAATTGGATTGTTGACAATGCGGTCTGTCATCGTGCATGGTTTATTAGCCAAATCGATTTTATCTTTCTCTTATAGATTGAAACGATTTGGAATTTGATAGAAAAAAAGAAAATAGATCTTCTTTAGTTTGGAATACTGGAAACACCATTATTCTTTCTCATTTTTCTTGTTTAATGAAAAAACATGTGAGAAGGAATTGCACAAAAGTTACATGATAAAACAAATATATATAATATAGAGAAAAAAAAAAAATAAAATTTTTTTTTTGTAAAATATATGTGTTTTAAAATCTTAATATTATATTTTATATATAAGAAAAAAATATTACAAAAGTAAGTTATAATTTATTCATATTATCTTAAGACCTTTAATTCTTTTGTTAATCATTCGTATACTCACTATTATGCCTTGACACCCCGACAGTGCCAAGATTTTGGAGCATCAGGGCTGTCATGTCAGCTTTTTGACGTGCGGTATCGTAACGTCGAGAATCAAGTGCTACGGCAGCTGGTAAAGATTTAAAACCAGCTGTCGTGGCACAATCTTCACCCAATGATCCGGTTGATGCCGCTTCTATCACGTCCAGAGCTTCTTCGATACCCGCCTTCGAAATAGAACAGGTTATAGATTCTATCAATTAATCCAATGTAATTTTAAATAAACTTCTTTCAACATTGGGAAAAATATACATTAATTTCTTTTGGATTTCAATCTTAGGATACAAATAGAAACAATGGAAGATTCTTCTAAAATTTAACTTCATATATTTTAGATCAATATTGCTTTTAGTGTTAAATAATTCAAACAATTTAAATTAGGACAAAAACTTTTGATCTCAAGATCTAACTATAATTATTGGAGGATTTTTCTACAATTTAACCCTTCATTTCAGTATTAAATTAATTTAAATAATTTAAACACAAAAAAAATTTTGCTAAAGAATTAAAAGTTACTGAGAAATATTTTTTTTTTTAGGATTCTAAAGATTAATTTTGGAGAATAGTAGAGAGATATTTTACCCTTTTCATATCGAGAATCTCCGTGCTGGTAATCGTAGAGAGGGACGGTACCGAGGTCGAGGTAGCCGTCGTTACAGTGATGTACGCCATCATCGTCATCGTCGCAGGAAACAGGGCCCAAAGCCAAGATTTGCCCATCCCGCGTACTGCTCATTTGTACTTTGAAATAAATGTTTGTCATTTCATTCTTTATCATCATGTTTATAAAAATAAGAAGGAAAAATTGAAGATAATTTTTTAATTCCTCTTTTTTTTCTTCTTTTTTTCAGTCATATGTAAATACATAATTAAATGCGTATAGTTAAAGGTTAAAATAGTTAAAAAGAGTTTGAATAGTACAATCATTAATGATATCATTAATATATAATTTTAAAAACAAACCTTTTTCTTTTGCATTCAAGTGGCAGCAAGTTTGAGCCCCGGATCCATGGGGCGTTCATCCACCCCCTCTGATGCCCTCGACATTCTTCTCAAGGATTTTCTTGATCCTCTTTGATCACTTCACTCACTTTTGTTCAATATTCATCACGAAAAAGTGATTCTATCAAACAAAAGTTATATTCACTTATATAAAATAAAATTATCTATTCTCGATAATTTTTAATAATATAAATAGAGAAAAAATATATATCGCTTCAATATATAGAATATCTTAATAAATAATAATAAATAATAAATTTTTCACGTGTTTCACATTCTTTCTCTTAAAGAACACATGACTTTACCAATGTAATTTTATCAATGTAACTCGTATATTCACGTGAGTGAAATAATTTCAATATCATAATATATGCCACTGAAGGGACGTTAATTTAAATAAAGTAGACCATGATAGGATTTCTCTCAAGGGTCCTTCCATAATTCCATAATTCGTGTGATGGTGTAATTATCCACTATTATAAATTTTTCTTGCCAGTTCTCTGCTTCGTATATTAACAAATTAAATTTATCGTTTATCGCGAATCTATAATGAGTATTTAACGAGGATATTGAAATCGTTCTAAATGTTTGATTAATATCCTTTTCAACAATATTTGTTTATTTGCACAATTCGTTTTTTTTTACATGGAATTTTTTCTTAAAAAAAAAAATTATCATATCCATAAAATTACAAGTAATTCGTTTATTTCGTTTAAATTATAAAAATTTTGTTCAGTGATATTTTACTATATAAATAAATTACAGCGTAGAAATTAATTTTGTTGAGATATAAAGTTATGCCATATTTGATACATACACGTATAGTATTTTATAGAGTATTTTATGGGTATTTTAAAATTTTTTCTTCATTTAGTGTCATTATCCAATACAATTGCAATTGTACAACTACATGCGTATGGATATACGTATATTAGATTATTGATAGAGGTTATGGAACTTGTTAAAGGTTGAGTAAATCCTCACGTTTCACTTGTCAAAGACTAGTGAAGATAACTAACTGGTGGAAAATGAAATCATGTACACAGCTCTTTCTGTTATACGCGAAACACGAAAATTTATCACTTCGATTTATCACATGCTTATATTCCTCTTTTTATTATATTTATTTATTCCTCACCTTTCAATATCATAATATTGGAAAAGGTCGAGTGAATAATAAATGGAAATTTTATTTCGAAAAATTGAAACAATAGATAGGAGAAATAGATTTGGTAGAACAGATTAAAACGTTCCCTTCCATTTCGTCCAAGATTCAATAAGTTTTTGTCTAGCTGGCTAAATACCGACTTTTTAAAACGACCAGCCGAGAACAAAAGAATTAAGAGAGCTACATGTCGATTCCAACGCTCGTTGTATCGGAAATATCATGTTTGTTACCCGTACACAGCTTTGACGATTCTCTCGGCCTTTCTATCCCAACAATAACGCTTTCCGATATTGTTTGGCGCAAACAGACTTATAGCCAATAATTTTTTCAAGAGTGAAACGTGCAAATTTTATATTTCAGATAGTGACATAGATGCTTCTTTAAAAACTTCATTTATTTAAATAATATTTTACAATCAATTATTTTATTCAATTTTATACAAATTTTATATTTTGTAAGGATTTATATTTGAAAATAAAATTCTCTAGAGTTGTTCTTTGTCGATGACTACTTTATCGAGAGTGAAAATTAGTGCAGGATAATCATAATCTTGATGCAACGCTCTCTAGTGGAAAATTTTTGCAACATAGATACTTTTGTGAAGTTTTATTTATTTAAATTATGGCTTTTAACTATCTTACTGTTAATCATTTCTTTTAGAAAATTTTTATATTTTGCAAGGATATTTGAGAGATAAAACTTTTGAGAATTACTATCGAGAGTTTTTACTACTTTTAATATTTTTTTTTAATAAATATCGCATCCGAAATAAAAATTAATGTAGGACAATATAATGTAGGACTTCGAATGCAATGCCCTCTAGTGAAAAATTTTTGCAACAATAAAAAATGTCATTATTTCATTTAAAACGATTTTGAAATAAAATGTGTATCAAAATAAAGAACGATAGTCAAGGTCAGTGTAATAAAGGTCTATTTGATGAACATTCCTCGACGTCGGACCTCGAACTACTTCCGTTACCCTTGGGAATCCTGTTCAGGGACGAACGCATTATGAAAGCATGTTAAGCGTCTTGTCTTTGCATTTTTGAATCTAATGAAAAATTTAAATTTATCACTTCTTTTCTCTTCATTGTATCAATATTAAAATTTTACTCTTAAAAATATGCACGTTTGCAAAAAAAAAAAAGAATTTAAGAATAAAAAAAAAATTTCAATTTCAAATTTTCTTCAGTCGACAGTGTTGAATATAATGGCAAACAATATGAGATAAATATGTCGAGAGAACGCGAGTTAGTTATCCTTCAGTTCATTATGCGTTAATGTGTCTTAACTAGTTATATCAAGATCTACGGATCCATCGAAGCGTTCCAATTATTCTCTCGACGAACAAAGACAGAGTTTATTCGTATGAAACATTAAAAGGGTTTGTTTGCCAGAATGCACTATTTTAAGATACACAATAGTTTATTAATAGCAACTTGTGAAACAATTATAACCGATGCGTTCATTCTAAAATCGATTGAAAAAGTATCAGATTTTTTTAAAAAAATAACCATCTCTAATTCATGAATACTTTCTTACAGATTCTTCGAATTTGAATAAATACATAATGTACGCGTTAAAACAAATATTATAGCTGGTCTTGGTGGTGAAATCAACAGGTAATTCTTTCAAATAAAAAAAAAACTTATATAAAATGAATATATATATACATATACTTATAATATTTAAAAAATTTTCAATATTCATCAGTCAATATTTAAAGAATTCACCGTCAAATAATTTCTAACATATTTCTACCATTTTTTCTTTTTTTAATATAAAAATATAATTATCTACAAATTCAATTTAATTTTCATTTTTACAAAAATATGACATTTCAAATCACAGATATATTCATTGCACATGTGTAAATTTTCAAATGTTTGAAGTATAATAAACATCCTCGTTCACTCTTTTATTAATTTTAACAATCGAAACGAAGCATGATCCCCCAATTGAAAATTGTCAAAAGTGGGATGATAAAAATAGGAAATCGATTGGTTTGCATAATGAGTCGTTAACAAGATTTACGATAGTTTTCAGGGGAAGGAGAGCGTATCGTTCGCTGGAGAAGAGCTTTACCGCGCGCAGTAAGGACGATCGA